TTTAATTCTAAATGAATATCCTTGTTGGACTATTATTTAAGTGCTATTCTCTTTCAAGACATGTTTACCTAAAGCTAGAATAAATGCAATGTACATTATGCAGCAAAAGAAATTAGAAGATAGGACATATATCCATTATGGAGATGATAAGTTTTGGACGGGCGATGTGCCTCGTACACAGGGAAGAAGCTTTTCAGTTATCTAGCTTTGCTAGCAAAGTCGTTAGCTAGCAGCTAGCTAATAGCACAACAACAGCAGCCTAATCTCTATATAGTAAAAATACTGAATCGATAGATAAGAACAGTTTTTCCTCACCTGGCTGTCTCCTCCCGCTCTGTAGTTCTTCAGAGAAAGGCAGACGCAGAGGCCTGTCAGTGTCTGTTGTATTTCATTACCTCTCTGCTTAAACCGCGACTCCGAGCTGAAGCAGAAACGATACTTTCAACGTTTTCCGTCATCTGACAAGTAGCAAGTCTACTCCACTTTATTCACCCAAAACGTTTTTTTTTAATTCACCAAAAACTGATCTGTAACCTGGATCGTTCGCTACGTTCAGCTCTAGTTAGCCGTCTTATGTCACTGCGCGAGAGGCAACTGCGTCATGCGTCACGGGCAGGTAACAAGGTGACCGGAGGGCTTATTATGTTGTACAAAAAAGAAACAAAAAAGCAAATAATTTTAGTACATGTTTTTATGTGTCAGAAGAGGGCTTATGAAATAATAATACCAACAAAAAAAATTGACCAAAAGGGGGCAAGGAGCACAAAGGGCAGGTGCTGATATCACATTAGTGCAAACATGAAAGGCAAGGAGTGGTCAGATTTATTTAGGGTCACACAGCACAATTGAATCAAACTCCATCTGACTTTAATCCAGAATTAGACACACATGTCAAAAATGATCAAATATTGAAACTTTCCTCTCACCTCTGGTTTCTACAGATAGTGGGCCAAGTAAACAGGGAGGGTTTGATACCCTTCTCCACCCTAAACGAGAGGGGGATTAACAGGCCTGACAAACATGAGTCTAGAGTTTATCTTTTCTGAAACCTCTTTAAAAATGTAAATGTCTAATTAGCTTAGTTCAGCTTTGATGTTTGCAACAGAGGAACGACAGTGATAGTGAATTTTTTCTCCTAGAGTCAGAAAAACTATTGCCTGAATGTCAAAAATGGATATATTAGGATTTCTTTCCTTCTGCTTACGGGCTCCGTCTTAAAGGCATTAAATGTGTCATTGGACTTTCATCCTTGGTTTTTCTACAAATCTCAGATTCAACAGTTCTTTTTTTTATAAAGTGCCCAAATGTTTTGAGAAGTTGTCACAATTAACATCTAAAGCTGGACATTATTGAGCTAAATCATGATGTGTTTCTAATCCAAACATTGGAAAAACATAATGTGTTTTATATTTGTATTTTTTTAAATAATTTCTGTAGTAAATGGTAAACTTTAAAAAAAAAAGGGCTGAAGACATGGGCGAAATTTCTGAAATGAAGCTTCAGCGCAAATTCAATCTGGAAGACTCTTTTAGCCTCACCTGCCTCATCAATCAGCGCCTCCCTCTCATCTCCTTGGACCTATCAGTGCTGGATCAAGCCACGTCATGGCCAATCGTCGATCAAGCTCCAGCTGATAAGGACCTTCATCCATGGCCTCCTCCGCTTACCAGCTGCGATCAACCCACCTCCGCCACATCTCCACCGTTAGCTCATCAGGCCACATCCTTCTTCAACCTCTGCCACCAGTACAGACCCCCAGGGGGATTACATTCCTATGCAGCATCAGGAATGTTTATCGAGCTTATCAAAGTTCCAGCTCGACGTCCTCGGCCAGGGCCTGAACGCCAAAGGACTTTAATGTTTATTTGTCATTAAACTTTTTTAATCGCTTTCTTTCTCTGTCTGAGTCTCTCCAGATTGAATGAGCTGAATAGACCAACTAAAAGATGGCTTTTCCCCTCATCACTTTAAATGACTTTGCTAGACTTTAGATTTAGTGAAAGCAAAGTTTCACTGTAAAATCCCTTAAATGCCAATTTTGTATTTTGTGTACTTTTAGTATTTTTTGGTGTTGGTCTGACTTCTAATTTGAGTTGTAGTTCTAGTTTTTTTGGGTGGGTGTGTGTGTGTGTGTGTGTGTATTCTTCCTGTTGTGCACCATGTTCCTTTTACTTCCTGTCATTCCTGATTCTGAGTGTCTTTGTTATGTTAAGTCCTTCTTCCGTTGTGTTACATTTTCTCAGTTTGTCAGCTCTTTTTCTTCATCGACAACTGTAGCCTGTTAATGATCACTCGGCTGTTTCTCGTTCATTAATTATCACCCCAGGTAACACACCTCTCAGTATGATCGTTCCTTTGTAGGATCCTTCTGTTGCACAGCCTGTTTCTATTGCTTCTTTATGTCTTGTTCCTCTTTTTGATTAGATGGAGTTAATGTTGCTGGATGATATTCTTACTTTTGCACTAATAAAAACTTTTAATTTAACTTATTGGCAGATCAAAGATAAGATTATGTCAGGTCAAAGTGCTACAGCTAAAGCCATTCAATCGAGGAGTTATATTTTCACACTATGATTCTCTAAACCTAATATAGTGATGTATGGCCATAACCCTAACTAGGTTGCAAGTTAAATTCATCAGATGCTGAAAAAATGAGGAAACTAAAGAATGAAAAATGTCTCTTTTCCAAACTGCACCAATAGCCAAAGTCTATTTTTGAAGGCTTAATCATATGAATGTCCATCAGTTTTATCACTAAAAACACTCCCAGACATGACTTTAGAATAGATTATTTTAGACTTTTCTACAGCACTGACACAGTTTCTGTTGGGTCTTCAAATTATAAAAATGGACAAATGTTTGTGTTGGGTTCTCTTGTCTTCTTCTCAACAATAATTTCAACCTGGAAGTCACAGAGAACACAAGGTGTAAGACGTTGCAGGGTAAGCCTGGAAGAAGAAATTTTTCAAGAGAATAAAGATATTCAAAATGATCAAAGTCATAGAGAGGCTGAACCTCTTCATAAGTACCTTTTAGCTTACCCTAGCAACAGACTGTTCTTCAAAGCTATAAATACTCGGCACAGAATGCATATAATGATTATACTTTCTACATTTGTCTTAGTTAAATGTTTGATTAAGGCCCTCGGGCATCTCTGAAACATTGTCTAGGTAGATTTGTCAAAATGTGCAGAGCAAACCTCCCACAAATGTTGATTCAGTGACTTCACTGAGCAGCTGTTTTTCTTTTATATCATTTAAGACTTTTATTAATTCATACTCATGAACAATTCACTGCAAAACCTTCAGCTGAACATTATGTTTACCCACTCAGCGCTGTCGTCCTTTACTAATTTCTGTAATCTAATTTATTCTCTATTAAAGTCTTTGTGGCAGTACCCATTTTTTTCAAAAGCCATTTTCTGTGTCAGTTCAGATCAGACTGAGACCGCAGCCGCAGTGACAGAAGCCTAGTGGCTCTGGTCTTAATCATATAGAAGCAAAGTGTTGCACCTAAGGCTCTGCTCTCCCTGACAGACCAAGTGACCCAAATATGAGCCAAGTGTCTGCTTAGTTTAAAAAAAAAATTTGTCTGCAAGTATATGACTAATGCATTAGTCAGACTGCAACAAATCCTGTGATGTGCCATCTTTTGTTTGACATCTGCTGCACAGTTAGCCTACACAAAATGTTTGGAATATTCCATACCCCTGATGTGAAAACAATCAGAAAACCTTTCATTTTGGCTAAAATGTTGCAATCCGGAGATGGATTCTTTGCTTTTTGACTTAAGCTTGTTCGGTTTGAAGTTTATCCAACTCATCCTGCTGTACGAAGGTTATAATCAATTCAGTAAAACAAAAGAATCCTTTTCTTTCACCATTACAGTTCACACAATTTCTGTTCTTACCTAAAACATCAGCAGAGGATTTGCACCATTGTTTCATTATGTGTCCTATACTGATTTGAATATGGCTGAAGAAGTCTTGTGTCAAATACAAATGAGGATTAGCTCTTATTTGTTTATTCAAACAAAGATTTTCCTGTCTAATGTTCTCACGTTGACTTTTGGTTTGTACCTGACTCCTTTGTCCCTTTCAACATCACCTTTGTAAATCATAAAACACTGCTTCTGTCATAATGTGCCAACTCCAAACCTACGTCTGTGACCGTCAGTCCATAAAGACGGAAGGACCACCGAGACGTGTCAGAGTACTATAGTGACAGGGTATTATTTTGTGGAGGGACATATTTTAAAAAAAAACCAGATCAATAGGAATAAATCACCTGAAGCCTGGCCTGAGCCATGTTTTGTCAGCAGATCCAATCTCAGAGGATGGACAGCTATTGATCCGAGCTGTAATCTCGCAGATAAAAGCTTGATCTTTGGAAGTGATCTGAATGGCTCATACATTTTGCACTGACACAGAAGAAAAGCACCAATACTTCCCAGTCTATAATGGTTCTTTTGGGTTACTATTAGCAGAAAAAAAAAAATACAGTATACTGACATTCAGCATTTTATCTTTTGTGCTGCCATTAATATTGTGTTTTATTTGCTGTTTTTTCTTTCCCTTGCATAGAAAATACTCTTGTCCCAGTCCATTTAGTATAGTCTCTTTTCAAAAAAGTCAATGACAGAGCTACTTGTGATATGAACTTTAAATGTTTTGACCTGTGGGTTAAAACTTTGGGACACCCCTGGTTTGCCCAGTTAACTCAGTGAATGTCTGCATTAATGTGCAGACTCATGCTGCTATCCAAATACATTTTAATTCATTGAGTTTTAATCACAACTCAGTCTCACATTTAAAATTATAAATCCTACAAACAGGAAATAAATACAGATAAGACGGTGAGTCACATTGAAAGTTATGATCTCAGTTACATTTAATAAAAAAACACTACAGAAATATCTGATTTTTACTTTCAGAATGGAAGGTGAAGACAGCGACATACCTCAAAAGATGATTGACGTACACAATTAATCAAAAGGACATTTGATCAAATGTCGCCCTCTACTGGCATTATGTGAAACTGAAAAAGAAAAATTTTCAAACAAAACAATGTTTGCTACTGTTATTTAGAGACATGCGAATGATATCACTTTATTTAAATGTCAGTAGAAAACAAATATAATCACTTTACCAAATGCCAAAGAGTTACTTCAGATATATAGTGAGATTATTCCTGTCCAAAGACAATAATTTATACAATTATCAGGACCAGTAAAAGCAGATGTAACCTTTCCTGACTTTGTTAAAAAAAAGGGCAGAGCTGCCAGAAGTCAGGTTTCTTGAGGTTTACAGGCCAGGAGGTAGAAATACTTGACAGCCACTGTGACTTCTGCCTCTGCAGAGGTCACTTTCATTACAGACATCAGCCTGGAGGAGACAAGAAAGAAGACAAGACTATTTCAGAGGACGGCAAACAAACATAAGCGTGTATAATGCTGCTACTATTGTGTAATAAAATATATGGGCATTTACCTTATTTAGAGCAAAGTGTAAATACATCAGTGGTGGTTTAAAACACTGGGACATAACTTTATGTGCAGAAAATGACAGATTAGCATCATAAAACATGATGTTCACCTCTCAGTTATATCCTGAGACAGCCTGTTAGCTCTCTGTGGATCTTCTCTCAGCAGAGCTTGATAACTGGAAAAAGACTCCACCAATCCCATGTAGCTGGACAGCGGCATAATATTTCTGTCCCAAAAACACTCCTGCCTGGAAAACAGCACAATATATGCGCTGTGCATTGTATGCATATCAAACACAGAAATAACAGGGGTTTTTTTCCTGTGTTTTGCTACATCGCAGCTAAAGGGGGAAAACTTTTCATATCACTGAAGTCAGATTACTAGCCAAAGAAAAGAAATCCATCACTCACCACTCCTTGTCGGGATAAGGAATAGATCCGTACGCCTCCCTGTACAGATCAATAGAGCTTTGACCAAGGTGGGGACTCCTGTAAGGTTCCAGAGCTGCATAAAACTGATCCAACAACAAAAATATAGATGTTAAATTCGGGTATATGTTATGTATTTGTTATGAGTGACATTTTCTATCTTTGACTTGTCAATAGCACATTTTTATTCACTACACTACAGCAATGTTTCAGTGCAAAACCTACTGTGAGAAAAAGAGCAACAAGATGTTTTAACCTCAAAAGTCCACTAGATGGTAACGTAACACTTTTTCAGCATTTTATATTTAGGTCTGAGAGATTCAATCTGTTCACTATCAATATATTATGAAATATTTTTATTTAGATTCCTTTCTTGAAGAAATTTGAACTTGTTGAACGAGGCCCTAATACAAAAGAATAAACAATGAATAAACATTTACTTCTTCTTGAATCATTCTTACTTTTTCAACACAACTATTATTATCTGTGACATACCCTGATATTTTTTATATCTGATGCCATCCTTGATGACTGACTCAACAGTAGAATGGAAGAGTATTTAATGTCCATGTTTAACTTGCCTTTAAATTAAGATTTTAACCAAAACTCAAAATTTTAAATGAATTTTTATCAAACAACATTCAGCATTCAGACAGCAAAAGAGCAAGACTTTTAGTAAATAAAGGGAAAGTTGAATAGAGCACAGCCATGTTGTTCTGATTAAAGCTTTTGAGATATTTCTAGTAATTAGGAATCTTTATTCTCCAGAACATGCACATAAATTGCTGGCTTAATTAAGTTAACTCTGCCAATATCAAATGCAATAAACAGGAGACTGCATAAAATGTGAACTCCAATAATTTTTAATTTGTTTTAAAATTACATTAAAGTCATGGTTTATAGTGAATGCTCTCGCACAGCAGTTTAGTACATTTTTCAACAAACTATATTTAGCTCAATAGATGTCACCTCTCAAGAATCAAAATTATAGCACCAATTCACGACAAATGTTGCCTTAAGACACTTTACCAAAAAAACACCAAAAAAAAAGTAGCTATCAATCATGCAGGCAGGTTGATGCTATTTTTGATGCTATTAGTTCCTGAAGATCGTAAAGACAAAACTATATCAGAAGTCAGAGGTTTGAGTTGAGGCTATACTGAAGCGAAAATAAGGCTTAACTATGAAAAATCACAGTAGTGCTTTAACTGGCACCCACAGAAACCCTTTCCTATCGGATCCATGTAAAAATCAAAACATCAAGGCAAAGAAAAAAACATTTCCACTGCTTCAGTTATTTACAGATTTAATAAACGTGTTTGTGTTGTGCTTTTGTTTAAGGTTTCAGTCTTTACCTCTTTGCAGACTTGGTTCAGTGTATGTTTGCAGCAGTCGGGGTAGCTGAGCTCCATGTTAATTGTGTAGTTGAGCAGAGCCAAGCAGCCTTGGGGCTTCAGGACCCGGTGGGCCTCCTGCAGGAACCGAGGCCTGTCAAACCAGTGGAAGGCAGACATGGCCGTCACCAGGTCCGCTGAGCTGTCAGCGAAGGGCAGCTCCTCAGCCACACATTGTCTAAAGATAAATCAGGGGGAAAACTATCAAACTTTCAGCCGGCATGACTTTTCTTTTTAAGCATTCAAGAGGTGGATGCAGCCACTCAAACAGCACAAATATTAGACACGAGGAGCCTTTCCTTTGGCTTATAAAAGTCAGCATGCAGTAAGGACCATATGGACTATTTCTCATGCTTGAATCTGCAAATTCCACCTTACTGGGGTTAACAAAAAAAGTGTGATTTTTTTGTTGTTGCTTGTTTTGTTTTTTTAACTGTGACCTATCATGCTTCCTTTTAAACAGATTAGGATAGATTAATGATATCTATGTTCATTACATTTTTGCACAAAATCATTCTCAAGTAATGCGATTTCACCTTCTCAGTTCTGTCTACTTTAAGCTCCTTTCAGAATGAGCTGTTTTAGTGCTCTGTCACTTTTATGCAAATAAGATATTGCTGCCAACTCAATGTTTGTTCTTGCATATTATACAGTGATGCAAACAGATGCACAATTGTACAACCGTACATCTTTGAAAAGCATTAGTAGAATCTCCTGCACAACCAACAAGACTGCAGCAAAAACAATAAATCACTTGTCTTTTCCAGCAGCCATTGTGCAGCGAATGCAATGGTAAACTGAACAAACATGGATATCTGTGTGCGGGGTTTCGTTTGGGTTGCTAGGTGAGGGGCAGCACCTGACATTTTTTATGTCATAAAAGCTCGTTTTCCAGCCACCAAAAAATATTAAGTTATTGCCAGAAAATGACTGGATGTTTTTTTAAACACTTGGACTGTTTCTAGAAGTGGTAGAGATCCAAATGCAAGTACAAAAACACACAAAAAGTGAATTTAGCATACTAGGTCCCCTATAGGTATTTGAGATTTTAATTTGTAGAGGACTATGAGAGGCAAATATCCCTTTCCTTCTACTTCACTATTATCCGCTACAGTACCTTCTATCAATAAATCACATTAAAAAAATATATATAAAAAAAACGCATTAAAGCTCTCAGCTGTAGTTGACTTGGAAAAGATTTTAGTCACTGTGCTTTCATCATGATACAAGAAAAATAAAAAGACACTGAGTGGATGAGCCAGTGAAGCTCAACTTTTTTGGCTTGGACTTACCTGTATGTGACGTTTGGCTCTTTTGCTTGCTGCAAAGCCACTTCCAACTGAGCAGGACTCACGTCTGTTCCCACAACCGAACCAAAGTGTTTGGACAGGATCCGCGTGCCCTGCCCAGACCCACAACCCACGTCCACAGCCAGCCCAAAGGGACGACTCCGCTAAGAAAATACTTAAGTTACAATGCTGTGAAATTACCTTTACGAAGTAAAATAAACAGCCTACAGTGTTAGTTCTTATAAATCAAAAACATAAAATAGACTTTGGGTGGCTGCTTGTACTCACATGCTTCTCTAGGAAGTCCAGAACTTGTTGGATTAGATGATCTGAAGGAGAGACTCTATACTTCCAATAGGATGCAGCATGCTCCTTACCTTCAAAAAGTCTGTATGTCATAGCTGTCAAACGCTTATTTTCTGCTGATTTAACTTAAGTTTGGCAAGAAGACAAAAACAACTGTAATATTTCTTCTTTTTGACAAGAAAAGCGAACTTCCAGGGTTTCAATTCCTCTCTGCTGACTGACAAAACAAGCAATGTGGCTGCTGGGGAACTGGGAGAATAATTAACTGCCTCCAAGCACACGTGCTGCGCCTCATAACAAGGACCTTTAGTGTAACTCATGAATAGAAAACCAGGTCAAACTCAAAGGCTCACCAGAAAATGCTTAGGTAGCATTGAGGATGATTGCTGTTAGAAAAGCCAGAATCCTGTAAGAGGGGCCTTTAAAGACCCCTTTAAAGAGAGAAAATGCTCTTTTTTTAATAAAAAAAGAGAGCATTTTTATTACTCTCTTACTCTCATAAGAGAGTAATAAAATAAACATAACAAATATACATAAAAATGCTCATAAAACATATTTTCACTGCTAAAATGAGAACCAAACATACAAAACTAAAGAGCCATTATCCAGGCAAAAAGAAAAACAGAGACAAAATACATTGTAATGTGAAAACTTTATTGTTTTAACAATACTTTTCATTTTTGTACAAAATATAATCATGATATAGTAGTTTACTTTTCAAGTTTGAACAATTGTATCACTTTGATACAACACACATATTTCTGGATAAGCCTCTGGAACACTACAAAAGTGATGAAATTATAACTTATTTTAAATCAATATAGTGTGTGACTGCTTTTAATCATTATTCCAACGAATAAAAAAAAAATATTTTTGATCCACCAAAAGTGTTCATTGGTCACAGGAGCAAGAGAAAATGGGTGGAGAAAAAAAGACAAGTTTGCAGTTTCAAGGGAAGGCTGCAACAAAAGCACAGATGATACAAAAAAATATTAAGACAAGTTTTTTTAAGTTGTTTTGAAAACTTGTTTAAATGGGTGGTATTATGAATATTTTAGGCACATAGTGCCATTTAGTCGCATAATCAAGTAACTATGTTACCTTCAGTTATTATAAAAAAATGCTGTAAATATCAAATCTAATGTACTTAACTTTGCAACTGATGCCTTGAAATTGGCCTCTGTTTCTTTAAGAAGCTCCTGCTCTTTCATGAATGGTTGCCATGGGAGATTCAAGGTTTCCTCAAACATGCATGAAAGTAACAAAGCAGGTTTGTTTTTATAATTGAGTAATAATATACATCATAAAAAGCTGAAAAAAGTTGCTTAATTCCTGGGATATTTCACTTTCCCTGTGGTTTCCCTGTGTGTTGCAGAAAAGTGTGTTGTAAGGAGAGATTTTACACACGTTTTAAAATGCAAACACACAAGAACCTCAGATTCTGTTTGCGAAAAATGCTAAATATTCCAGTTAGTCTAAGGTCAAAAGAAACAACAAGGTGTGGAGATCACAGTAAAATGTAGAAAGCACCACTAAGAAATGTTTGGAAAATGCTACGCTAACAAAACATGTTTCATATAAAAGATCCTTGCAGTGAAAGGCGAGTTTGGAGAATGAGTAGAAAGCTGACACTCCAGATCTGCAGGAAGAGTACAGAACTCTGACTACAACATACAAACAGATCCAGTGAAGAAAAACAAAAGCGTAGGATGTTCTGATTGGAGGACAAATTAGAAAAAATCTTGATAAGTCACTACTTTAAGGTTCCTCAGAAGAAGTGTTGGTTATTGCGGCTTTGAAGCCAGGACGCAGAAATATTCCCACTCCCGCTCTATTTCAGTGTCAACAGAAGTGACGCCCATTTCATCCAGGAACCTGCGATGAAAACGCTCATAGATTAGATGTACATATTATTTCCCAAAACTGACATCAGAATGAAGAACAGAGAATTACCGCTTCTGAATCTTGGCCAGCATGTCCTCAGCCCCTTGTGGGTCTTTTCTCTTGTAAGAATTGTACATGGACCAACTGCTAATAAAACCCACCAATGTTCTGATGGAGATCATGGATTTGCACTTAAAACTCTCAATCCTGTTGGATCAACATAAGAGGAAAAGAGCTGAAAATGTGCATTTAAAAAAGGAGTCATGTTAACTACAATTCCAGTTCTAAAAGCATCCAGGTTAGCTTTAATTTGTATAACAACCATTTTTTATAACATCAGATGATCTACAAAAGATTACCTTTCCTTGTCTGGATAGGGTATGGCAGAGTACAAGTCTTCCAGTTTACTCTCTGATGCAGCGACTGGGCTGCTTGTGTACGGCCGCAGCAACTTCTTCACCTGCATAATGTCAACAGTGAAGGGTCTAGAAGCTCTGGCTTATTATTTCTCCATATCAGTTCTGCATTTGACACAGTTAATCATAACATGCTGATGGAAAGGTTGTCATGACATATTCCTTCAAAATTGTTACCTAATCTAATTGGAGATGCGGCCAGGACACAGTCTCGTTGGAGTGATGAAGCTACAGAGACTAGGTGTTACTACTTCCTGGTCTGGAACCTGACTTTTACTTATTTGGAGGATGATTAGTTAACTGAAGTTTTCATGACCAAAAGACGCCCAATCTGTAAGGTGAAAAAGTTGTGGACGTTGATTGTTAACAGGATCTAATCTAACTAATCTAAAGAAGACGTGTTCTCACCATTTGCAAAAGACGAGAGGTCAGCAGCTAAATCTGACGCCAGTTTTAAACAGAAAGGCTCCATCATCATAAGACTAACTATGATTGGACGTCTAAGCCTTCAGATGAAAGACATTCACAGCAAGGAGAACATTGCAATTGTTTTGTTTTTTTTATCCTGGAAATGTCCGTCGTTATTGTACGCACTTTATTTGCCACCACTGGAAAATATTCTGTTTTATAAAATACATGTAAACATTTGTTGCCGATTCAAGCCGGAAGTTAATAATTAATTCACTCACTGTACTTTGATTGCCTCCAAAGACAATGCAGATCCTTCTGATGAGATTTAAAATTTAACTTCGACCATAAAAATCACCTACCTCCTGGTATATGTGGTTTAGCTTCTCTCCGCAGTCCTTATAGTTTAATCTGATGTTACCGTCCGTGAAGCCCAGCAGAGCCATGCAGCCCCGCGACTTCAGGACCCGATCGGCCTCAAGCAGAAACCTGGTCGGGTCGAACCAATGTGCTGCCGAAGCTGCTGTCAATAAATCTACGGTGCCGTCCTCAAAAGGAAGCTCTTCTGCTGTCCCCTTACTGCAAATGTACCACAGAGAGACAAGTACAGCAGGTGACCATCACATTCCCAGACAGTCTGGCTTTAAGGAGAGAAAAAAAAAGTTAAAATATGTCAGATCATCCAGTTAGCTCACTCAATTCCTCCAACCTAAACATTCTGCTTCCTACCTGTTACTCAAGAAATTAAGAATAAACCTGTCACAATAACCTATTAATCAATCACATTAGAAGAAGCTTGATCATTTCCATCCTGAAGAGAAAATTTGTTTACAGACACTTTATAATCCATTGTGTGTTTATTGTTTTTGGTTGTTTTATTCTGGATATTTAAAATGTCTTCCAGTTCCAGCAGTGTGTGTGTAGTGTTCTGCACAAAATTAGAGTTTATTGCTCTTTGAGGGGGCAAACTTGTATCATTCTGCCTTTTCTAATATATTACTTGAAAAGTGTCTCAAAACAATATTGCAATAATTTCCGAGACAAATAGTAACTTAACTTAGTTGCTATTGTGACAGATCACCTTATAAATGAAGTTTGAGTCACATCATGTAATAGATGCTGTGACATCACTTTGTTAATCGTATTTTTGTGACAAACTGCAATGTAGTCGTCACCTTATAAAGGAAGGACTTTAATTTATAGACGTTTTCTTCAAAATGTCAGTAAAAGATCAGCAAAGCATTAATGTGGAATGGTAGAAGCTTTGTTATTCAGCTCATTCTTTTAACTTGCGTTGTGTCACATACAAAAAGGATTTCATAACTTGCCGGTTAACATTTACACCTACAGCGGACCTCTGCGTACCGGTATGTGATGTTAGCGTATCCCGGCACGGCCCGGGCCTCCTCCAGCTGGAAGTCGCTGATATCAATGCCAACCACTTCTTTGAAATGCGGCGCAATTAATCGAGTGTGCTGACCCGTTCCACATCCCAGGTCTACAGCAAGCACATGCGGCTGTCCCTTCTGGGGATGAGAACGGGTGATAAGTTCTTTATTAAACAGAGAAAAGATGATGTCAGACAGGACATACCTTTTTGTCCAAGTACTGAATGATAACGTCCTTCAGCCCAGATGGAGGCGTAAACCGATACTGTTGGTAGATGGAAGCGTGTTCCTTCCCTTCAAAAAGTCGGTATGCCATTGGGACGTTTCACTTGCTTTTCTTATCTCTTGCCTGTTGCAACTAGCTTGATCTGTCCTGCAGAGCAGACTCTGCCTTTGGGAGCAAAGTTCGTCTTTTGTCTCTTTCAATCCCTTGTTTCTCTTCGCTTCCCCTCCCTGCTAATCTTGTTACTGTGTAACATGTTTATTTTCAAATCTCCTGCCAGGCACGTGTGTGGTCTTTGGTCTTGCAGGAATCAAACCTCCCCGACATCCTACAATTCAAATAAAACAGATGAGAGCAGTGATAATTTAAGGATGATCAGATGAAGATTTGAACTTTTTAAACCAAGTGAATAAAAGTTGTCTGACCAAGCTTCTGACTGAAAGCTGCCTATGTAGAAGGTCCTGTTAGCTCAGCTGCAGAGCTGTTGACTGTACACTGGGCCTCCTGCTTAACCCTTTCCTTTCATTGCATATTTCTACACATTACATCAGATAAACTACATTATGTGAAAAATTGCACAAACTAATGAAATACTGCAAGTAAAATAGAATCAAGTTTTTCTTGTCTGCAAGAACAAATGTGCCAAGTTTTTCTAAAACGGTTTGTGTTAATAATACAATCCATTTGTCTTTACACGTAAGACTGCCAATGTTATACTTTGTTAAATTACTGAATAACAACAGAGACAGTTGAACATTGATCTGTCTGTCACAATCAATGTGCAGTTTCAGTAATTCACCAATGTCCCAACAGGGAAATGACCATCTGACAGAAGGGTGATTTGAGAATCCATGGGACAAAAAAAAAATAATAGTGTGAGAAAAAAAGAAATAAGACTTGCAGAAGACAAGTAAAACACAGACCTGCCTTGAAGAACCTCTTCTTGTTCAGCAGTAGTTAGCGTTCAACTTAATGGTGCATTGCTGGCCCCTTCTGCTCCAGAGAACAAATTACAGTCAAAATACGTCTTCAACCATCCATCCTATGTTTTTACCCGCTCGTCTTTGTTGCATATCTCTATGCAACTGAATGAGTCGCAGTCCGACACAGAGACGAAAAGGACAAACAATCTGAAGCATGTCCTCTCAAATAAGCCAGAACACACAAGGATTTATTTATGGATTTATTTATTACCGTGGGCTGCAGATCGACGCTCCCGTACAAATGTCAAAGTATCGACTTTAATCGACATCCCGTCTTGTTTGCAGCATAAACGGTGAGATTTACAAAGGCAGTACGGGAAAAAGCTCCAGCAACAACTTACCCTCAATGTTTGGCTGCGATCAATGTGAGGAAAAGGAAGTAACGTGGACACAAGTGTATACAAAACAGGACCTTTCAAAATAAAGCAAAAATAAATCAATGTGTAGTTCATATTTTGGAAAATATAAATCGGATGTTCAACAATTCCTCTGAATATCTTTTATTTTCAAACAGCATGTTTGATGTCAACTTCCTACAGGTTTCTAATGGACTGGATCCGGGGATCTCGCTGACCACTCCGTAAAACCATGAAGCTGATCGCTTAATGGTGAGTTTGGGATCGCTACACTAATTTCCTTTTCATCATAAGGCAATAGGACTTCTGTAAAACTAATTTTGATGTATTCCAACTGATTCCTGACCCTTCATATGTGATGATAGCCCCAACACAGCAAAATGAGAAACATTAACGTGTGATGATGCCTGGTGGTCCATGTTTCTCAATGTCCTGTTGTTTGAAGTCAAGTGTTAGGGGTCATCTGATAAGATGTCTGTGATCTGTACAGCCAAAGGTCAAACTTATCAGTCCATAAAACATTGCAAAATGTCCCTTAGTGAATCGGTGGGTTATTTGGTAAACGAAACCTTTACAGACATTTATTTTTTTTCCCAATAATGGGAACTAGCAGATGTTTCTTGCACATAACTTGATTTACACGAGTATTTTAATAAAAATACCTGCAGACAACTGCACAACCTTTTTGTAAGCTGATAGTTGGGGCCATTTTTGCTCTCCTTTGACACATCCGAATGGTACCTTTAGTTTTCTTCCACATCTTCCTGCTTTTGGGTTGTTTTTCAGTGTTGGGGGTAATTCTAGCTGATAACCTAATCCTGCACCTGTTTTCTCTCACCAATCACAGAACTGAAGTTTAAGAAAAACTTCAGAAATCAACAATTTTACTCATATTTTCAGAAAAATGTGCAATAGCCAACATGTATAGCCCCCACTGGTTTTATTTTTAGTAAAGGGAGACTCACTTATTTTGTTCATAAAATGAATGAGCCCACAATTTAAATATACTCATTTCAACTTATATTTTAAAATTTGAAACTACACAAAAGTTGATGCATTCCATAAATGTTGGCTCTGTTGCACCCACTAGTAAATTATTTGCAAACTAAGTTATTAATCTGGCCAGTGATACGCTACTCTTATTTTTAAAGCACACATGCAAATGCATTATTAATTGATAGATAAGAAAAAGCACAACACTTGTGTTGATAAATCAAAATGAAAGCAAATACACAAAATGATATAAGACAAATTTTATTTTTTCTTGTGACATTTTAGGACAAATCTAAACAATCACAATCTGTAACATGTTATATAATCAGCAACATTTTAATTTTTCGATTGAACTCAATCACTGATTTAAAAAAAAAAAAAACTTTTCTGTATCCCTGACGTGTGTTAAGGATTGATTGACTGTGGATGTGCTTAGAAAACTGTGTGAAGCTTGAATTATTCAGAGCAATGCTTAGAGTGAATGAGGATCTGATGTACTGCTCTCCTTGCTGCATCAAGTAATAAAACTCACATTTCCAAAACCTCATGTTTGCACCTGGAAAAGACAAGTGTTTTGTTGTTGACTTACTATTCAGAAACCACTTACTGGACTTTCTGTCTGACCCAGCTGACAAGAAGTTCCAGTAATTTCCATATCAGATCTCTCAACAAGACATGACAGAAGGCTAAAGTGCAAATCCAATGACAAAAAACATGCAGAAAACAGGATGGTAGAGATAAACCAAAGGCCAGCTTCAGGAAGATCTGACAAAGAACCTCTTCTTCTTGTTTTAATGTCCTGTAGCTCCCCACTGCATTCAGTCATTCATGAACTGATGGTGGCAACCTGCTGACTGTAGCCAGAGCTGTCCTGAGGCACTCTGACAGAAGTGAGGTTGCCATACACTGGTGCCACCGGGCCGCCTGATCACCACCAGCAGGCAAGGAAGTGACGCGTCTTGCCAATGGACACAATGACCGAGATGGATGGAGCAGGGGAACCGACTGAACAGCAGCCTCGATTCTGTCAGCCAGTCGCAGGGTAGGGTTGCCACAATCCATGTGCGAATGACTTCATGTAGTATGAAAAAGTTTTGGAGTCCTACGGACAAAATAAAGCTCTGCACAAGAGTAGGCCATTTTCACCGATCATTTTGACAGGCCTTACTCTTTAAAAAGCAAATAAGTGTTTTACTTTCATTGCAGCACAACAGGTCATAAAAACAGCAGCAAAAGCAAACACGATTAGGTCAGCCATACTTTGTTTCTTTCCATTTCTTTGTCAAGATTGTTGTTTTGTTTGACCATTCGCTACAAGGAAAACTATTTTTTTTAAGTTCTGCATGACGGGCCTTAGAGGAAGCAAAGTGTGCTTAATTGCACCTGAGGGATAATAATAATGACCTATTGACCATTTCCAAATGAGGCAGTGAGCATAATGCCATCCCAAGGGTTCTCATTAAGTTTTAAAATATCAAAGGAATTAACTTAGGCATACATTTCTCCTCTGCTTAAAATGTGTATCATCCTTGTACACTGAGGCATTGAATCCCAAAAGTTGACTCACAGTCTTTGTTTACTTGTTTGATCACCTAGAGAGATTTTCCACAGCACAGAGCTGAGAGACATGAAATAATCAGTAGTCAATTGACATCATTCACTACAACAGGGTCAATATTATTAATATACGTTGAACGTTTTCATACTTTGTCACGGTACAACCAGGGATTGCTATTTTATATTTGAATTTGATGTGACGGACCATCAGACAGTAGTGCCGAATTTTGAAGTGGACAGAAGTGGTTCAGATTTGTACAAATGAAAATCTGAAAAGTGTGAAAGTGCATTTTTATACACCTCTTTTTATTCTGAAACCCCTAAATAAAATCTATTGTTTTTATTATTCTATTATCATATAGCCTACCTGTATTTACTCATTATATTATTGTCTTTGTTTACTTATCTAATGTGTAGTTTATGCTTCTTTACTACATATTCATTTACTCATTTGATTCCTTATGCTAAGGATCATTTTGCATTTATTCATTACATTAATTTGATTTATCATTTACTTATTTGTTACTGATGAACTATATTTCAAGACATTGAATTGTGAAGAGCAATGAACATATAGATGGTTGAAGTGGAAGCTAACATGACACTTCATGGTATGTGAGAAGATTAAAGTTTTTTCCAACATGAGATGAGGCCTGGGTGCAGGAGACAAGAATGCATTGTTCTGGGGTTTTCCAGAGCTGAAGAGACCACCACCCAACATATGTGTAAACATGTGTGAAGAAGTATAAGTAGTCAGAGCAGATCTGTGTTGGTAGAAGCTTTATTACTTGCATATTGTACCTTATAGTCTTCTCCTTGATCAAGTATAGCCTTGAATAGATAGATTTGTGAGTATGCCTTTGATTTGAATGTGC